TCCCTTATCCCCCCCCCCATCTTGACATCTCCCCTCCCTCCCACCCAGACAACCTCCCTCCCTCATCCATCCCCCCCCTCATCCTGACATCTATCCTTTCCTTCACCCCATCACCCCCTCCCCCTCCTCCCCTCTCCCCTCTCCCCTCCCCCTCCTTTCCTCTCCCCTCCCTCTCCTTCCCTCTCCCCTCCCCCTCCTTCCCTCTCCCCTCCCCCTCCATCCCTCGTCCCTCCACCTCCTTCCCTCTCCCCTCCCCCTCCATCCCTCTCCCCTCCCCCTCCTTCCCTCTCCCCTCCCTCTCCTTCCCTCTCCCCTCCCCCTCCTTCCCTCTCCCCTCCCCTCCCCCCCCTCTTGCATCAGATTTTTATAGCTTTATTCTTCCTTCAACGCTTCCTCGTGTAAACATTCAGGGATTCCTGTTTTATAAAATGTAGCTTCCCTGTTTCTCTCTCCTCTCCGTCTCCCCCCCCCCCCCCCCGCCGACATCCTCTCTCCTCTCCGTCTCCCCCCCCCCCCCCCCGCAGGCATCCTCTCTCCTCTCCGTCTCCCCCCCCGCCCCCCCCGACATCCTCTCTCATCTTCGTCTCTCTCCCCCCCCCCGCCGACATCCTCTCTCCTCTCCGTCTCCCCCCCCCCCCGCCGACATCCTCTCTCCTCTCCGTCTCCCCCCCCCCCCCCGCAGGCATCCTCTCTCCTCTCCGTCTCACCCCCCGCCCCCCCCGACATCCTCTCTCATCTTCGTCTCTCTCCCCCCCCCCGCCGACATCCTCTCTCATCTTCGTCTCCCCCACCCCCCCGCCGACATCCTCTCTCCTCTCCGTCTCCCCCCCCCCCCCCGCAGGCATCCTCTCTCCTCTCCGTCTCCCCCCCCCCCCCCCCCGCAGGCATCCTCTCTCCTCTCCGTCTCCCCCCCCCCCCCCCGCCGACATCCTCTCTCCTCTCCGTCTCCCTCCCCCCAGACATTCTCTTTCTCTGCCGCCCCCCTCCCCCCCTTCTACAAATTTGCAACGATTTGCAATGGATAATCTGAAGGCCATCTAAGTGTTCGGACATTGCATATTTTGGCTGCAGGTAGTCGTGCAATATAACATTTTTTTTTCTTTCTTTTTTTTTTTTTTGACCAAGCCACTTTCGTTATCACATTGACAGCAATTTTTACCTCTCGTTTTCTTATCTGTCTTATCAACTCTCTCTCTCCTGTAAAGAAAAAAAATATGGAGCAGCAGAACAGTGTTATGTATTCGTGTTTCTTATTCTTATGTCCAGTAAGCAAGATAATTACTGATTAAAAATATCTTCAATTATAGAAGTTATTATCCGTTTTCTTTGATGGAAAGTTCAAGGGGGGTATTCATACATTTTCTTTTACCTCGTTTAATCTAATTCAATTTCGTTTTATCCTCTCATTATTTTTCTAAAGCAATTTTCAGAACTGTTCCCATTATGTTACCATTCTCTTATCATCTACGTTCATTATTTTCCGTCGTTCTCTAGATCTCTCTCTTTTTCTCTTTCTCTCTCTCTCTCTCTTTCTCTCTCTCTCTCTCTCTCTCTCTCTCTCTCTCTCCCCTCTCACTCTCTGTCTGTCTGTCTGTCTGTCTGTCTGTCTGTCTGTCTCTCTCTCAACCTCTCTCTCCCCCCTCTCTCTCTCTCTCTCTCTCTTTTCCCCCCTCCCCCCTCCCCATCTTTCTCTCTCTCTCTTCCCCTTACCTCTCTCCCTCTCTCTCTCTCTCTCTCTCGCTTCCCCCCTGCCTCCCTCCCTCCTCCCTCCTCCCCCACCTCTCTCTCCCTTCTCCCTCTCTCTCTCTCTTTCTTTCTCTCTCTCTCTCTCTCTCTCTCTTCTTCTCTCTATCCCCCTTCCCCCTCCCTCCTCCCTCCCTCTCTCTCTCATTCTCTCTCTCTTTCTCACCCTCTCCCTTCACCCCCCCTCCCCCTCCCCCCTCTCTCTCCCTTCCGCTACCTCTCCCCCCTTCCCCTATCTCTCTCTCTCTCTCTCTCTCTATCTATCTATCTCTTTCTCACCCCACCCTCTCTCTCTCTCTCCCTTTCCTCCCTCCTCCCTCCCCTCCTTCCTCCCTCCCCCTCTCCCCTCCCCTTCTTCCTCCCTCCCCCTCCCCCCTCCCCTCCTTCCTCCTCTCCCATACCTTCTCCTCCATGCATTCTCTCTGCTCGAAAAGGTGAATATCCTATGCATCCCACCTCTCGCCCCATCCCTTTGCAAATGCATTGAACCGGTAACTTGCATAATGCGTTTGCAATGAATCCGAGACGAACAATACCATTGCAATTTGCTAAAGCTTCACAGTCCAATGCAATATTACCAGAACTACAAAGGTGTGTGTCTGTCAGAGTGGCTGTTTGTGCATTTGATTATCATGATTAATGATATATTATTAGTGTCGTTATTACCTTTATTGTTATTATTATCAAAAGGGTAGTAATGATCAGTAACAATAATGAAGATAATAATGGCTTTCATTACGATCCTTGTCATTATAAC